AAACTAACGGTTGATCTCATGAAACATTTTTTTCTCTTGCTTGTTTTAAGAATTCCAAGAGTATGAGTACACTACAGGTGAGACATTTACTTTTCTTTTTTTCAGTTTCCTCATTTTCTAAATGTTATGCCAAGTGTATAAGTGGGAAATTTTTTCTCTCCTCTTATTTAGACCCTCCTCGCGGAGGCTATCAGCAGCAGGTTCAGCTCAACCCCGTGATCCGTCCTGGAAAATCAGGTACGTCTGCTTAGCTCTCCTCCCATCGGTCACAGATTTACTCCCAGTGCTGTCACGATTGAATGAATGAATGCAAATTGCCGCATGTCTCATACTATTTGAAAAAAACAGATCCCGAATTCCTGACAGAGCCCACGGAGCCTGGACCTCTCGGTAAGTGATTCGGAGAGACGAGAACAGAAAGCCAGTTGTTTTACGTAGAGTGGAGAAATTATTCTGTTGTTTGATTCCCAGATTGCAGAGAGGAGCAGTACCTCTGCACCCGACTCTACTCAGTTCACAAGCCATGCAAGCAGTGTCTCAACAGCCTCTGTTTCTACAGGTAAGTGCTTTTAAAGGAGCACAACAGCAACAGAAAGCAGTGATTACGAGTAATACTGCATGGCTTCATTTCTTCTTGATGAATGGATACTTACCTCATGTGCACTGTGCTAGTTTTGGTCTGTTATTCTAATGTAAATATCACTGAAGCACAGTTAATTCTGATGTTAACAATCTGCTGGAACTATAGTGCATTTATGCAGATCCAAAACAAAAGGAATGAGGTTTTATACGATGCAGATGTCTCAAGGTGTCTAACAAAAAGGCAACCAGGAGCCAAACTGCTCTCCAAGAACTTACCGGATAAAGATTGTACGGCCTGTTCTCAGCAATCATTTCAAAGACTCCATTATTCAAACAGGACTAAATAGTGTATTTGTTGGGAACAATATCCAGCTGTGGATCAACCCTCATTTAGTTCTTATGAGTTCGTATGTGGTGCTTACTCAAAATAAACTTCAGCAGTAATGAGGAAACACCATGAAGTGCAGTGTCTCACTAAATAGGCAACAGTGGATTTGATTAGATCGGCTATAGACTGTTGCCTGTAGATGCAGTTGTGACTGATAAGACCGACATGATGACTGTGAGCTGCTCCTGGCTCCGCACGTGTGACCTCTGCATGTGTTTTTGTTCAGTTTGCGGCGGGTGTACGTCGTCAACAAGGAGGTCTGCGTGAGGACTGTGTGCGCACACGAGGAGCTGCTCAGAGGTGGGATTCGCGTAACCTGTGTTCATGCATTTACTCCTTGATATTTTATGTACTAATTCAAAAGGGAGTGTATATTAATTAACACAAGCACTTAAACCCATCCTGTAAATATGCCAGGTTTAGCTGAACAGGCTAATTTTCATCTTGCAGGTTAATAAATTAATGAATAAAACCAAATCTTCAAGGGCATATAAATATAAATATAAATGTAAATGAAAGAGAAACGCGTGTAAAATATACACAAATTCTAAAGTGATGGTATAAATTTGGCTTGTTATCCAAAATCTTCTACAAGCCTGCTTATAGAAAATAACTTTCTAATGATTTTAATTGTCTGTGTTGGACAATAGCTCATATGAGAAAGAATCATGAGATTGATTTTAACGGACTTTTCCGTGTGTGTGTGTGTGTGTGTGTGTGTGTGCTTGTGTGTGTTTAGCGGACCTGTGTCGCGATCAGTTTTCTCGCTGTGGAGTGGCGGCGCTGAGTGGCCAGTGTGCATCATTAGGAGGAAGCTGTGGGAAGAGCTGCGGAAGCTGCTGATGATCAGGGACACCACCCGCCCAGATACTGCCGCTTTTTCACCTCCCTCATCACGTTGTCTTACTTTGCCCTCCTCCCTCCCTCCTCTCCCTCTGTACACCCCCGCTACCCCTGTGCAAAAAAGCACTTCTGCATTTCAGCATGTTTCTCTTCATCTAAAATGTTCCACATGTGTGTTTGCTCACTAGATCCTGTGTGTAAGGATACGTATAATCCAAAGGACGTTGATGACTGTATAAATCACTGGTGCTATAAAACTTTTAGAGGTGCACATAAAGCCACAGAACATCCTCTATTTTTATTTTTTAATTTTTTGCATATCGTATCACATTAATCGCCTCGTGTTTACTGGTACGTTACTGTATTTGTGTTGAAAAGCAGTCATTGTCATGATTAGCTCATCAATGGTGGCCGCAGTGCACTGACATCAGACAAAACTAATCAATATCTAGCTGCCAGCTGTCTCGCTATCGAAGATCATGAGATATGTGATGAAACAGGTAGTGAGGAGTGACCTCACAAATGACCTCTGTACTACTGCTTTGTAAAACTGTCACTATAGAGACTGAGAAAAAAAATAAACTTTGTTTTGTTTTTTTACTACAGCTGATCAGCGTGTCATTGACTCAGGTGTGATTCCCGGCTGCAGCTCAGCATGTTGAAGCGTATTAATGAGCAGACATGAGTTAGGACACACAGCCAAGTTTATTTTCCAGGAAACATGGCTTCCCTTCGTCCAAACGAGTGACTCTGCCCTTATTAATCACCAGTGTCAGTATTTATACATAAAGTAAAAAGCAGTAAAACTAACCTAATAAAAAAACTGCACCATCACTGCAGCACTCAGTCTTCAGTGGTAAAATAGTGTCTAAATATATATATATCAGAAAATCAGTAAAATCTGTTTCAGAGAGAACATACAGTACAATTCCTTCATTATGCTCAGTTTGTTTGTTTCCTAACAAACCCAAACTCTCCCTTTCTGTCCTCATCTGTTCACATGAACGTGGAGGAATCTGCAGATTTTCATTCCAGCCTGTCTGCAGGAGAGTCCTGCGGTAATTCTTGAATAAGAACAAGAAATTTGGGAATATGCTGGACAAAGATCGAGTGCAGATGGCTGCCAGTAATCAGGACGGCCGCTGGTGTTTTCAGCACAGCTGGCTGAATCATAATGCTCCATCTCCTCTCTCTTGAGTCAAAATGAAAAAAAAACCCCACAAGGCTTCAAAATTACAATAGTGTTCATTCAGTGTCACAAAATAAAACATCTTTGAAACAGTACAGTAACTGTGGAGTAGCGTTGTTGCTATGAGACATTCAAGATGGAGTTTGCTGCTGGTGTTTCTGGTTTCAAGCTGCGTCTCGGTTCCTTGCCGACACCACGGAGGATGGGAGAGACGGCTGCCGCCTCTTCATCTCCTGCTGAAGCTGCTCCTTTAGAGTAGACACCTGCAGTAATGATAAAGGTGACAACAAACAGTTAAACATGTAATTTTTAAATCTGATAACATGATTCAATCTTAAATCCAGTCTGCAGGTTACAGACGTGGACAGAAGAGTGAGATTTTGAAGGCAGTAACAAAAGGCTTGAAAATTAAGTGATGCTAAAAACAAACAGCTGGAGGAACTTGTTTGCAGCTGATTAGGTTAATTAGTAACAGATTATTAATGTGACTGGATATAAAAAGAGCGCTTCAGAAGTGAAGATGGGCAGAGGTTCACCAGTCTGCAAATGCATGTAATGCAAATGTGATGTTCCTCAACATAAACCTTCAAATATCATCTGTGGGACATAATATCATCAAAACATTTAAAGAATCTGGAGGAATCAAAACTGATTAAAACTTCAAAACTGATTCAGTCATTGAAATCACTCCATGGGCTGCTCAGGAAGTGATGCACCTGTATCACCAATACGAGTTCTGTATTTACTTACTTTTTAATTTAATTTAATTTAATTTAACTTACTGAATATAGTGCAAAAAATGACACATAAACTATATGTTTTTGCCTCCTTGTTTTGAAGTCGTGTGGTGCTGGGAAACAAAAACGTCCCTCTGATGCTCTAAACATAAAATAGCGTGCCTGTTTTTAAAAACTAAGAAGCAGAAATTACAGATATTTGTACTTTTGTTATTTCCCACCTCAACATACTAATGATCACATTGTTCCATCTGTGCTTGCACAACATTTTAAGATGAAGTTTTGTTGAAAACAAATCCAAGCACTATCATTTTATTAGTTTTTTTCCTGTAAAAAACAATGAGACTGATTAATCAGTTGTGCTGATTGTGCTGAAGCAACATTATTGATGTTGAAAGAAACACAGATGTGTCTGTGCCCACAGATATGATCCATCATATCTATTATACTCAATGAAACTTGGATCCAGCTAAGTAACATTTGGAGTTTGCATGTTCTCCCCGTGTTTGCGTGGGTTCCCTCCGGGTACT